GTGGGGAGGAAAGACATCTTTGGGAAACATGGAGACAAGTAAACGGCCTCTGACACTCTTTTAGACTGTGGATGAACATGTGAGTAACCTACCTGAAGTTTAGCCGGTAACCTAGGATCAAGTGTTCTAGAAGCATATCAAAAGGCTATCAAGCTGCTTCTGTTTGCTCAGGGTTATTTTTTTTTATATTTCTCTGACTTATGCCCCTCCTCATGCCTACCATTTCTACCCTATAAAGCTATCTGTTATAGAAAGCCTAGTTGTAAATGTTTGAGAGGGATTGGGAAAGCCTTTTTACTCGCTTTGCTTGGCTCACCAAGGGAGGCTACTTTCTATGCTTCAGGATATAAGAAATATCCAGATACATCCTGCTGGGGCTAAGCAACCCCAGGGTCTACCTAGAATCATAAACTCATAGATGTTTCTGTTGGAAGGGACCTTAGTAGATCACTGAGTCTGACCCCCTGCCCTGGACAGGAAACAGCACTGGAGTCAGAAGACCCCAGCCAGGTGCATATCCAGCCTCCTCATTAAGACCCTCAAGGTAGGGGAGAGCACCACCTCCCTTGGAAGCCCATTCCAGATTCTGGCAACCCTTATGGTAAAGAAGTTCTTCCTGATGTCTAACTTAAATCTTATCTCTTACAGTTTGTGGCCATTGTTCCTAGTTACTCCAAGGGGTGCCCTGGCAAACAGATCATCTTCTATAACTTGCTGCCCCTCCCCACCCCATTAATTTGTAGACAGCCACAAGATCACCTTTCAACCTTCTGGAGGTCTCTTCCAGAACTACGTCTCTATGATTCTATGGTCTTTGGATTTGGCAACTTTTGAACCTCACATCTGAATTCTGTCTATATCTTCCACTTCTTACAGAACATCTCCAAGATTCAAACTTTTACGGATATCCACAGTGCCATTCCCTCCCCCCCCCCCACCATAATCTTGCACCGTGACTTCTGTAATCTCTTCTCTACCTTAATTTCCTGCAAATCCACCTTTGTGAAGTCTGTTCCAGGTACTACTACTGCTACACACCTATTGCTTTATCCCAACCTGCAATTTCAAGTCCCTCTACCAACATCTGCCTCTTCAAATACAAATGTTCTTGCCCTAAATTGCAAGGCCATCCAGAGTTTCCCCCTTCTTATCTATTCAATATATTACTACAAGATTGACTCCTGCCTTGACTAGTGCAAGGATTGATTCTCAGACAATCACTTTCAAACTTCCCTCTATGTTGCCTTTTTCATGAGTGGAACAGCTCTAAGTTAACTTCTGTGAAATCATCACCTCATCCTCCTTTGAGCTTCTCCTCAGACCTTTTATCCCTTTTATAATGCCTGTGATAAACTGCCAGTTGATCAGACAAACTGTGATTATTGCTTCTGGTTGAGCAAGGACCACACACATTTGATCTAGTTTGGTTTCAGGGGTTCTGCTGATTCCTAGGAGCCATGAAAAATTCCCATCCCGTTTCCCTCCTTCAAATACATTATTTGACCTTATTTTTCCCCTCCTGCCTCTTTTGGAATCACTGACCACTGGCCACAGTTAGAGGTGATCCAGTGCCTGAGGTAGGCTCGTGCTCTTACCTGTACTTAGAAAACTCTAAGGCACAGATGGGCATAGCTCATGCATTTGGGATGAAACCAATCACAGATTTGGGATCAGGAAAAAAGTGTCCCTTGGGTCAGATTGATGGGGATTGCTAGGTTTGTTCTCCCTTCTTCTCAAATATTGGGTATAGAACTCTTCCTTGGATCATCTGAATATATTTTACTATTGCAGGAATGGGCCTAGGATGACTCTTGTCTTTCCTACTCTTTACATGTGGTTATGTTGTAGAGTTTATTTTTCCTCCTCTTCCCCTCACTCCCAGCCCTCCATCCCCCACAATAGGCATTCTGGTAGACATTTTTGGACAAATTGTTGCCTGCAATTGCAGGGGACTGGAGCTGATGCTCCAGGGCTCCTATGTTTCTATGTTCCTATGTTGTTATCTTTTCTTATTCTGATTCTCTTTTGTCTTATTTTCCTGCTTATCTTCATGGCAGAAACAGTCATTTTCTTCATGCAGAACAGTGCCTAGCCCACTTGGGCCTGGTTTGATTGAAGTGTCTAGGTCATACTGTGGAAATATAATAGTCTAGCATACCTCTGCTATTGTCAGTTGTAGCACTTTGAACATGTAGTCAATGAAACTGGAATATTTTGAAGGATCACTGCTGTTAAAGAGGCACTGCTAAAGTAATTGATACACTGTATTGACACTAATGACTCAGAGACTGAGCATATGTGAGTAATTTTGTTTGATGCTCCCTGTCATATACTAACTTACTGAGAATCTGTTCTGATCCATTGTTCAGTGCTGAGAATCTTTAACTAATAATCAGTCTACTTCTATATGTGCCAAAATACTTATTTAAGGAGCATAGTGAAAGAGTAATTAACCGCTGAAGCTTTAGAAACATGAGTTCAAGTTTCACTCTGCATTTGAACCAAAGACTGTTCCTATTTGACTCAGCTGTAAATTGGTACTTGGTCATTTGGGCTGGGGAGTTAAAAGTGGCTAGATGTGGTGTTAGCTAGCTACATCCCCCTTGCATGCCATTAGCTACAACAGTTGGCTTGGGAGGATCCTTAACTTTGGACAAATGCATTTAGATGCTCATATTTAAGGATTTAAATGTGAACGTTTTGAACTAAATGAATGAATGACCTAAGTAAATGCATAAAATTGGAAGTAAAGGGAATGGTTACATTCCATTTGGTGATCTGTTCATTTGGACATTTATAGGAGGTTTACCAGCACAATAGTTTAATGCTAAAAGGTAACAGAATATTGTACATATAACAAGTCCCATTAATATAGCCCCTATTTACTCTTTATAATTAACTGTACTGAAATGGAGTCAGCCAGGTCATGGGATTATAATGTGTGCATTGGTCTGGTTCTGCTTGTAATGTTCCTTATGTTGGTAACCGATAACTCCTGTTATTGAAACACAGGCTTTTATTAACATTTGAAAATTAATTTATAGTTTGTTAATGTTTCACTCAATTGAAGCCATGAAATTCTATAGTTCTACTTTTTGGGGGGGATTCTCTTACCTTAGCACAGTATTGCTATATTTCTGCACCATGTGGGGTACATCCAGCCTGCAAAGACACCCCAGGTCATCTATGTATCAGTGATTCTGACTCATAGAAAATATGGCCTGAAGAAAGGGTCAAAGCATCAGGGAACAACTCAGTACAACTAAGACTCGCACAGTGGAACAGTAGAGTACAGTCAGTGTTGTGACTTGTGGAGTAAAATAAGATTGGTTTTAAGCAGGGCTTTAGGTATCCTCTGAACTCAGAAGGTATCCTAGTGCTGCAGACTTTGGGGGACCACTTTTAGTAGCCATAATATGGTAGAGTACTTCTTGAAGGTATGAATTGTCTACTTTAATTATGGATATCTAAGGGGGTAAGTACCCAATGTCAAAAAAGACTGCATACTAATTAAAGAGCAAGTGATTTTGATTTCTGCTCTGTATACCAGGTACAATCTTTTTTTCATAAAATTATTCCATGTATTTTGTTTTGTGATACTCCTGACCAGAGCTGGCCAAATACCCCAGAAGTTATTTATTTGTTTTAACCATGGCAAGTTAATTCCATTATTCATGAAATGTTCTTTATTCAAGTGTTCAGTCAACTCCTAGTTTACTGAGGACAATTAGCCAATTCCAAAAATAATGTGAACTGCAGCTTGAATGATTCTCCAGCCAAAAGTTTGTACTGGAAGATGTGATATTTACTATCAAACTGTTACCCAATTTCTCTTTGCCCCTTTACTTCCAAACTCAAATGTGCCATCTGCACCTACAGTAAGAAGTTCCTCACTTCCAGTTCCATCACAGAACCCTTTCAATTTGGTCTCCAGTTTCTGTGTTGCATTTTCAAGAATGCAATTTAGTACTGCAGGTGAGACATTCTATTAATGACGTAGCTGTGCAAGCCTCTGACATTTTACAGTATTTTTTTTCTGTAATAGTTACTGAAATATCAAAAACTTGTGACTGGGGCTCTGATCTCCCCAGTCTGCTATAGCTTGAACTCTGCAACCACAGACTTCCCATGTGGCTAAAGGCAGGTTAGTTACTCTATATCTAGAAGGCTCTTGTAGAAATTTGTAATAGGTTCTTGACCTTTTTTTGCTAACTTGGAATATGACATTCAATGAAGGGTTTGTTAATATGTTCATGCATTACCTAGTACAATGGGAGTCCTGATTGAAGTTGGATACTATCAATGCTATGGTAATGTTATAATGCAAAAAAGCAATTTTTTTATAATTTCATTTACTGTGTACTACAGAAAGCTATTGTATCTTACCATTGTGAATGTTTACTTTAATGAACTCACATTATACTCATTTTTGGCTTTGAGCCAAAGGAATAGCTCATTATGTCCTTATCTATGGCACCAGAAGGTTAAATGGCATATTTACAGAAAGTGTGAGATATGGTCCTGAGATTAGACACCAACCTTGCCCTACTGAATTTTTAAATGTGTAAATGAAGGGAGAGCTTCACAATTTGAAAAATGGTTGTAAGTCTGCCATATGGATTTCCTCTTCCCCCTCCTTTTGGAACATCTGGTTTCAAGTTCCGAGAAGCAGTCAGCGTGATTCAGCCCTGCATAATCGTATACATGCCTGGAATGTAAGACTGCTGCTTAAATCCTGAAGATGTGAGGTTGAATCTAAGGCAGCTGGCCTAATAAACAGCAGTACAATCCAAGCGAGAGAAATAAGACTTACCAAAAATAGGATTTGAGATCCAGAAGTCTTTTTTGAATACCCTGAGGCAAAAACAGAAACCTAATGTGCCAGAAATTCATTTTGTATTTCCTTGCAGAGTTTAGATAAAAAGCACTGATGTAAATTAAATAACATAACAAGACAGAAGTAATTAATAGAAGTATTCATTCATCTCTCTCTTCCTCAGGCGGTTGTTCATTTGATGAACACTACAGTAACTGTGGTTATAGCGTGGCATTGGGAACCAATGGATTTACCTGGGAACAGATCAACACCTGGGAAAAGCCTACAATGGATCCAGCTGTCCCCACTGGTAAGTAAAGAGCATGCAGAATAGGGAAGGCATTAAATAGAGTGTTACTATTTGGGTGTAATGTCCGGTGAGAATTGAACTAAAATGAACTCTGTGCTTACTTATATGGGGCTGGAATTCAGTAACCAGGTACCAGAATGCATAACTATTAGAAAGAGACAAAAGTGGGGTGGCTTTGCAAACTGCCAGCAGCTTGGCATTCCCTTGCCAAACACTGAGTGTTAGGTTGTGGACAACTCAACATTTTATATGTTTAAAAGGGAAGGGGAGCATGCTGCTCAGGCACACATAGCAGTTGCTCTGTTACATTTGCATTATATTGTTAGAGAGACAAGTTACCTATATCACCCTAACTTTGACTCTCAGTGAAGCAGTTAGAATTAGAGGGTGTTTTGCTACCCATAGAAAATATGGCCTGAAGAAAGGATCAAAGCATCAGGGAACAACTCAATACAACTAAGACTCGCCATGTGCCCCCAGACGCTGGGGGAGGACGGCGAGCTCCTGCAGGCAGCGGCAGTGCTGTCAGCAGTGAGGGCATGGTGGCAGCAAGCAGGAAGCTCCTGCAAGTGTCCACAGCGTTGTCGGCAGCGGGGGTGTGGCAAGCGCCAACCAGTGGTCAGCGACCACCTGCAAATGCCATCAGCAGTGGCGGCAGCAGCGGCCAGTGGCAATCATGGACAGCCTGCAGGGGTACACTGCCACGCTCAAGGGGTGCGCATACACTCGTGTGCACTCCCTACACATTGCCAATGCCTGTACTCTTACACAGTCATGTATATGTAACAGTTGCATCATAACAGCTTATATTATCATCCTTTGCCTTTGAGACAGTAGCTAGGCTTGATTGTCTTAGATTCTCTTAGTCTCATTTTATTTAGCAGTCGGCTGCAGGGAGGGGTGGTTTTAGGTGAAATTGTCTAGGCTTTGTTCAGTCCTCAAGCCTAATTCTGAAAGGTTCAGAGTATTTTCTTTTCCCACTGAAACTGAAAATGAAAACAGTCAGCACTTAGCAAGATAGTCCTTACTGGAAAATCTTGGACTATCAGGCCTTCTAAGAATACATTTTAGGTTACATTTAATGTTATGAATTAAGAGTCAAGGGGATGTGTATAAAGTATAAAGGGGATGAATGCCGGTTCTCTGAGAAAGCTGTGAGGATATCAAAGGGATTAATTGGGATGGCTCAAGCCTGACTAGATATAAGATTCAGGAGACAACCTGTTCCAGTGTTTGATGAACATCCCACTAGCAGAGGTAGGGACTAATAGCATAACAAGTTACTTATTTGCAATTGAGTACATCAGATACCCCCAGCCTCAGTCTTCTATGGGATCTTAATTGGACGTTCTTTTCTGGAAAGTTGTCCAGTGCATCACAACCAGAAGTATTATTCCCTGTTGAGAATTAATTGGTACAGAATTTATCTGATAGCTTACCTCACTATACAGCTACAAGTTGCTAACCTTTTAATAATTATCGTTGGTGCTCAACCAGATACATTAATGGGACTTGAGTTGTTCCAGAAGGATGGTACACTCACACCATTACATCCCAGTGTTTAAATGTGGACATCAAAAACATAAACAAAGTGTGCTTAGGAGTCTAGTCAATGATGCACTGCAGGATAAGAGTATTAGTGAGATGGGAGTCCAGGAAAGGTGGTTATTCCTAAAGGAAGTGATCCTTTGGGCGCAAAGGGAGACTATCCCAGGACAAGGGGAAGTGGGGAAAGAGCCAAAAAACTTCTTTGGCTAAACAGGGAAATCCAGGGAAGCCTAAGGGTAAAAAAGAAAGCATATAAGTGGTGGAAGCAGGGGGAAGCTACCAAAGAAGAGCATACCTACTTGACCTGCACTTCCAGGGAGGCAGTTAGAAAGGCCAAAGCAAATACAGAGCTGAGGCTGGCAACACAAATTAAAGACAACAAAAAGTCTTTTTTAGGTATGTAGGGAGTAAAAGGAAGGTGCAGGGCAGCATAGGACTCTACTGAACAAGAAGGAGCAGACAGGGGGGACAAGGCTGAGCTATTCAATGAGTTTTTTGCCTCAGTGTTCCTGAACAGGGGTCAAGATAAGTCTCCTAATGCGTTCTTAGATGGTCATCAGAGGGACACCAGCCCACCAACTATTGACGCTGACTTGGTGCAGAGTCACTTGGATGGACTGGATGGGCGCATCCACACATGCAAGCATGGGCACTTGCAGCAGCTCAAATAGAAACAGTGCAAATTTGAGCCAGCACTTTTAGCTTCAATGCATGTGCTCAGACATGCACTTTGTTGTGGAGCAAATTGTGCCACTTGGGGCAAAATAACCCTGCCTGGTTCCTCCTGGATCTGCAGCAAGGGGGAGCCAGAGCCTGGGGCCAGCACCTGTGCTGTCCCCAGCAGTATAAAAAGCTGCCCTGTCCTGGCCCCAGTAGTAAAAAAAAGCCGCCCTGGCAAGTAGCTCAGGGCTACTAGCTTTTAGGAGCTTCTGGGGCCTAGCCAATTGGTATCTGGGGATACTACCCCTTGTGCCAGCTGGACTGCTAAAGCAGCCCTGATTGTTCCCTGCACCCTCTACCCACTGCAGCAGTCTGGCAGTGGGGGCTGCTGCCTGGCTGTGACCTGCTGTGTACCTGCCAGACTCGGATGGGGACGGCACAGCCCGTAGAGGCATCTGCCCCTCCGGGGCAGCTGCCAGTGGACTGCAGTTGCAGGGGTGGGCTTTGTGCGGCACTACTAA